CCCCAAAACCCCAAAACCCCAAAACCCCAAAACCCCAACTAAAAATAAAGTAATTGTGATAATATAATATTAACAAAAATTTAAGAGCAATGAAGAGCTCAGAAGTATTCAACAAGCTGTTGTCGACTGGTATCAGATCCTTGTTAAACCTATAGAAAAGGTCACATTAGAGGAGATCCTTAACGATGATGACTTCCTCAATGAGATTAAGATCAAGAATGAGAACTTATTCGAGTATCTCAATTATGAAAGAATGAAGAGCATGATTGATTTACTCATAATTGAACCAAAAATAGGCGACTCTAGTATAAAGTCCTTCAGATTACCCTTCGTCATCTGTGAAATGTTCTGACAAGATATCGGCCATTGCATTGATTACTTCAGTAGCAAATTACTGGATAAGACAAATGAGTATGAGCTGATGACACAATTGTTAAGCTATTTCGCTCAGGGTAAGGAGAATTTGGAACTTGGGAGACTTAATCAGACTATATCTGGCTATATTTCAAAGATTGTTACTTTCTATTGTCTCAAGCGACCATATCAGATTCTTGATTTCCTTGATTGTAATCACCAGATTATTAAAAATCTCACAAATCATATTTACCTAACTGAATGAATTTCCGATATTTTAGTAAAATTTATATGCCTTCGAGCACCTGAAAATTTGGAAGCACTTGAAAATGTGCAGCAAACAGTAATGGAGTCAACAGTAGCCTCACTAGGAGAGGAGAAGCATGAGGTAAGCATCCCAATTACTAAATTCCACTCCTCTAACTAAATCTAGCTCAACGATGAGTTCCATTCTCAGGCGTTGGGAACTCTCAACAGTACGATCCGTAGATGCTACCTAGTCATTAACAGTAAAGATTTCTTCCAGAGGTGGTTTTCCAAGGACTATTTAGAAGTCACAATGGGGGAGAGCGTCCTCTCAAGACTCATAAAATTCATATTTGAGAGGTTAGATTCTAGCTCCAAACAGAATGTGATAAAATGAGTTGAGACCCTCTGTGACCTGGTGAACAACCTATTCATATGTACACCTGAGGAGTCCGTTCAAGATGTAACAGAGTACCAATTTGGCTTCATAGTTGAAGCCATCGGCCCCACTGAAGAAACTAAGGGGGATCCTAATAATGTATCCATGGAAGAGGAAAAGCATGAAGGTGAAGGACAAGACAAAGAGGAAGACAAGGCAGATGAAAATGAATCAAAAGTCCTTGAACAAGTCAACAACAACAAGAAGAAAGTGCTTAAGAATCAAGCAACTCTCTTCTTACAAGAGGAAAGTTTGGAAAGGATTCAGCAGATCTTTGGCATTGTCCTAGAAAGTTTTACAGAGTTCTTCACGTATGTTGCTCAGGATAATTTTAGCAGTAAGACTTCCAGACATAAAAGGAATCTGTCCTTCGGTGGAGGAGGGTCATCCAAGAATATGATACCTGCGAAGTACAATACCGAGCCGGTTATAAGGGTTCTAGTCGCAAGAATGCTGAAGTGGTTTAACATTTTCCTCACGTTTCAGTCCGAAAGCATTGATAAGTTCCTCACTGAGTCTGAAATCCTAAAGGATATAGTAACAATTTGAGAGATCTACGATGATCACAGCTTGATCCAGATGGAGATAAGGAAAATCTTTACAAATCTGCTATCAAAAGAAGACATTTTACTCAAATAAAAAATTCCTGAATGATAGCAGATGTATCTTTTTGTTCGCTAAGAAGTTAAACATGGTTGACTTCAGCTCTCCGAAAGGAGTGAAGAAATGCATCTACACGACTATAAAACATTGCGTGCACATCATTCTTACCAGTGAAGACTGTCGTCTCGAAGGCATTTTAGAGGACATGCATGTCAACTGGGAGATTATCAAGGAGGCTATAACTAAGGAAGCTGAAGAAATAAAGCAACTTAAAGAAGCTGATATGGACAAAACAGAAGGAGTCTTCTCTGATCCCTCTCATAGAGATAACGACCAGGTGAAGAAGCATAACCAGAAGAAGGATGTCATGGTAAAGGGCGGTATCTCCACAGAGCTTGTAAAGAAATCAGTAGAGGCAAGGAAAAGACTTGTTGGTCTCGAAGGCCTAATTTAATGTTTTCAACCTTGCATTCACCCTCTGGGGTTTTGGGGTTTTGGGGTTTTGGGGTTTTGGGGTTTTGGGGTTTTGGGG